TAATGGAATGTATATATTATACTCATCAATTAATGAATAAAATATATCGTGGATGGGTACTGCTAATGAGGAGTCCTTTCTATTCCTTCTGGTGGTTGACTGGATTATGAAGACCTCGACGTCTGAGGGAAAACACGGCATATAATAGATAGCTCGTAATCGGTCAGAAGATTTGGACTCCACAGATGACCTGACCTTACTACCCGACACATAAACAAATTTAGATGAAGTCAACCAGTGTAGTAGCAGTCTCTGCATCAGTAGGCCTCAACATACACAATGGAAAAAGCAACATCCTCAAATACAACACGGAGAACACCAACACAATCACACTTGAGGGCGAAACTCTGGAAAATGTGGAATCTTTCACGTACCTGCGAAGTGTCATCGATGAACAAGGAGGATCTGATACAGACATAAAGGCGAGAATTGGCAAAGAAACAACAGCATTTCTACAATTGAAGAACATATGGAACTAAAAACAACTATCGATCAATATCAATATCACAGTCTTCAATACAAACGTCAAGATAGCTCTAGTGTACGGAGATGAAACACGGAGAGCTACTACAACCATCATCAACAAGGTGCAAAGTATTCCTTAACAATTGTCTACACAAGATACTAAATATCGGTTGACCAGATACCATCAGCAACAGCCTACCTTGAGAAACCAGAAGGACGTTAGAAATGGATAGAATACACATTACGGAAATAATCTAACTGCATCACGAAACAAGCGCTAACTTTGAATTCTGAAGGGAAACTGAAAAGTGGAAGAGCAAAGTACACATTGCGTTGAGAATTGGAAACAGACTTGAAAAGGATGAATTGGGACTGGAAAGAACATGAAAAACTTGTCCAGAACAGAGTTGAGTGGAGAATGATAGTGAGCATCCTATTCTTCTTTATAAGGGGTAACGGATGTAAGTAAGTAAGTAAGTAAGTAAGTAAGTAAGTAAGTAAGTAAGTAAGTAAGTAAGTAAGTAAGTAAGTAAGTAAGTAAGTAAGTAAGTAAGTAAGTAAGTAAGTAAGTAAGTAAGTAAGTAAGTAAGTAAGTAAGTAAGTAAGTAAGTAAGTAAGTAAGTAAGTAAGTAAGTAAGTAAGTAAGTAAGTAAGTAAGTAAGTAAGTAAGTAAGTAAGTAAGTAAGTAAGTAAGTAAGTAAGTAAGTAAGTAAGTAAGTAAGTAAGTAAGTAAGTAAGTAAGTAAGTAAGTAAGTAAGTAAGTAAGTAAGTAAGTAAGTAAGTAAGTAAGTAAGTAAGTAAGTAAGTAAGTAAGTAAGTAAGTAAGTAAGTAAGTAAGTAAGTAAGTAAGTAAGTAAGTAAGTAAGTAAGTAAGTAAGTAAGTAAGTAAGTAAGTAAGTAAGTAAGTAAGTAAGTAAGTAAGTAAGTAAGTAAGTAAGTAAGTAAGTAAGTAAGTAAGTAAGTAAGTAAGTAAGTAAGTAAGCAAGTAAGTAAGTAAGTAAGTAAGTAAGTAAGTAAGTAAGTAAGTAAGGTAAATGTTTGATCGGGAAAATACTGAAATTCTGGACCTAACAAAAGGACTAAGCTCAAAGATACATGAAGATAACGAGACCAATAAAGATTAACAAACACAAATGAGTTTCAATGGTTAAGATCATGAGTCAGTTGAAGCTAGACCACCATGGAAAACCTGGAAGCACGAGACAGGCGTTTCGTCCTATTGTGGGACTCCTCAGCAGTGCGCATCCACGACCTCGCCCCCTGCGAGATCCGAACCCATGACCTACTGGTTTTGCGCGCGAGCACTTAACCACTAGACCACTGGGCCGGCATCCAATGGTGTTAATGTCTAACTCCAACTAATACACGAAATTGAGGAGTCCCACAATGGGACGAAACGGCCGTCCAGTGCTTTCAGGTTTTCCATGGTGGTCTAGCTTCAACTGACTCATGATCTTAACCATTGAAATTACTATAATATCCACAAAACCCATCTGATACAAATGAGTTTGTCATCAGCAATGGATCGAGCACCATTCAGCTTGATGAACACAACAATACCAACAAAAAAATGAATTCAATTGAGCAATGAAGTCTTAGACGATTGATTGACATTTTTCAAATGAAATATTTAAAACAAATTGGTCCCTTTGATAAATGTCGATAATGCAATGAGAAAACGAAGTTTATCAGAATTATGTGATGATATATTAGCGTAATACATTTCGAACAATTTGATCACACCTAATATACTTGTTAACTTACTTTACTTTTACTTACGCCTGTTACTCCTCGTGAAGGAGCATAGGCCGCTCACCAGTATTCTCCATCCAACCCTGTCTTGGGCAATCCTTTTCAGCTCCGTCCAGTTCCTATTCATTCTTTTCATATCTGATTCTATTATCCGACGTAATGTGTTCTTAGGCCTTCCTCTTTTCCGCTTCCCTTCAGGATTTCAAGTTAGGGCTTGCCTCGTGATGCAGTTTGATGATTTGCGTAATGTATGTTCTATCCATTTCCATCGTCTTTTCCTAATTTCTTCTTCAGCTGGAAGTTGGTTTGTTCTCTCCCACAGAAGGCTGTTGCTGATAGTATCCGGCCAATGGATGTTGAGTATCTTGCGAAGACAGCTATTTATAAATACTTGTACCTTCTTGATGGTGGTTGTTGTAGCTCTCCAAGTTTCAGCTCCATACAGTAGAACTTCTTTGACGTTGGTATTGAAGATTCTCACTTTGATATTAGTTGAAAGTTGTTTTGAGTTCCATATGTTCTTCAATTGTAGGAGTGAGACCGTTGCTTTGCCAATCCTTGCCTTAACGTCTGCATCTGAACCTCCTTGTTCATCGATGATGTTAAGAACATTTATATATGAAAATTAAAAGGTCAACTAGACAGGTTAAGGGTAAGAGTCATAACAAAGGAAAAAATACTACAGTACACAAAAACAAATGTGATTACCACTCTGGATAATAAATCATTATTACCAGGGTAGGTTAAGTGTAAGGACAAATTGTTTTTGAACACATAAAGGAGGTTTCAATTTCCGTATAGCCAAGGCTTCAATAAACTTTAGTATACGTCCCTAAAGGCTTTTATATAACACTACGAATGCTGACTTGATGTCAACCTTATGACCCATCTCAATCAAATGCTTCGCAATGGAGGATGATGTTTGCCTATCCTGCGATCTTATTTGACCATTGGTATGTGTTCACCCGCCCTTAATTGCAAATCACGATTGCTCCTCCCTATGTACGTGTTTCCACACATACATGTAAATTGATAGACACAATCACTTACGTGCTATTTGGGCTTTTGGTGAAACATAGACCTTGTCTTTTCGATAATGACAAGTTGGACTGCATAAAATGTCCGATTGATAGCTAATTTAAGTCTCTGTTTCAACATGAGACTATTGGTGTCACCTCTGAATGGTAACGTACTATAAACTCGCTTTTTGGGTGCCAGGAGCGTCATAGGTCTAGTCAAATTGCAAACCCTCCAGTGGTTTATGAACTTCAAAGAGTAACCATTATTGATTAACGCATCAGTCAAGAGCTTCATCTCTACTTCAATAGTACCACTAGTACAAATACGATTGATTCTATTGAATAAGTTCTTTATTAAACCTCGTTTATAATGAATAGGGCAGTGACTATGAAAATTAAGATATTGTCCTGTCCATGTCGGTTTTCTATATATAGCACGTTGGATGGAACCATCATCTCTCCTACTAATCAGGATGTCTAGAAAAGGAAGTTGGTTGTTCTTCTCTTCTTCATATATAAGAGAAATGTACTTTTGACTTCTATTGAATTCTTTTAACAAGCGGTTTATGTTTTCACCTATATCGCCTATGATTATTATATCATCAATAGATCGTTTATACAGACTCATCTTTCGAATTGATTCTTCAACTAAATTTTCCACATATCCCATGAACACATCATTCAGCAATGGTCCTAGAGGGCTACCCATAGCTACACCATCTATTTGTCGGAAGTGCTCACCTTCAAAAGTGAATTTTACATTATCTATACACAATAATAATAAATCTTTAAGAGTGTTAACAGGAAATGGAAGTGGAAGGTTATTCAAAGAAATAAAGACGCACAAAATATCAATGGTTTTCCTGAGAGATACATTTGTAAATAAAGTGTTCACGTCAAAGGAGCACATTAAATTATTACTATTATCAGCTTTATTCAATATTATATTTTTGGTACAATATAGAATTCTCAGCACAAAGTATTTCAACAAGTTTCCGATCTTTTTCTTCATGGTCGGTCATGGCGATAAATATTGTGTGATCGCCAGTTAGATGTTAGCAGTTCAGTAAATGAACATCTGAATAATGTGCATTCTTTCCGTTGTATATTGCCAGCAACCACGTTGGCTCTTATTGAGTTTTTTGTAACTTTGACAACGAAAGGTTGTACACTTTTCAGAAACGCAGCAGAATAGATCATGCGATTAATAAACATAGTGATATATTAAAACAAACAAAAATAGATAACTTGTTGAAATATCTAGATGGTAGAAACAGGTAGCCCAGATGATCAAGCAGGCCGCCCCTGCCATTGTCTTTGTCTTTATATTTATATCCTTTAAGTAATGAAATATTTACTGTATGATTCTCAAACTTGTTCCCCTTTGTGTTCTCCTTCATTACAATATAACCATTGATTAGTTATAATTCTCAATAGATTTTTTAAAGATAAATATTATTCATCGATAAGTCGATAATTTATGGACGACCTTTGAAGGACGCTAAAGTAACTTTATAAGTGTCGATCTATTTACTAGCACTAAAATGAGTATTATAAAGATTATGATTCACATTTGATAGTTAGATTCATGAATGTCAAGATGCTATCTAACCAAATAAATGAATACATTTGGCCCCAACATCCAAGACCTGTTATCTTATAACCTTATTGGTTCGTCCATAAATTATTATACATTGTTCATTTATTTTTTGTTTAAATGATCTTCTTTGAATGTATTCTTTGTTGTTGCTATTCAATTTCTAGAAACTATTCCATCAAGACATAATGATTGGAGTAGACATTTTGGTAAATGATCAACCTTATTCTAATCATATACAGATAGAGATGTTGACAACAATCAATCAATAAATCGATGAATCAATTAATTAATCAATCAATCGATTAATCAAGATTCATCTATCAATTATTTATCTAAAATTTGACAAGTGAAACTAGAAAAACAAACAAATTAAATCAGAAAACTGTATGTCAGAACTCATTCAATGTGATACACAATTGATGTGTAAAATTGTGCAAATTAGAATGCAAATACATAGCACAATTATTAATAATAATGAAAAATAAAAATTATTATGCATTTGATTTGATTGATTTCTTTTGAGTTTATGATCTATGATTGCTTATTGTTACTGAATAGGGTTAGACATTGAGAGTTTGTCTTCGTCTTACCATTAGTAATATTGATGATAGTACAGCGGAGGGTGGGGAGAGTTATCTCACTCTCGCTCTCGAAAGCCTCTTACATAATCATGAGTATTCAGCCATTGTCAAGGAGAAGCAACTTAATCTCTTCTAGCAATGACGGTGTTGTTTAAGAAATTGAGAGGATGTAAAGGGAATGTCCGACCATTTAACCTGATTACTGGACATGGAGAGATCACCTAGAGGAGTTAGGAAACCCCCAATTCAAACCAGTGGTGTACATGGGCTTCAGGATCTTGAAGGAACAAATGGTGTATGAAATTATTTTTTGTCACCGACTACCATGGGACTGCATCTCCTTACGTCGCTCCATTGCCGAAGGCTCAGAGTGTGATCCCCGAATTAAACCACCTGCTTCGGTTTGCGCACCCGGGCAGTACCACAACCTACGCATAAACCAGATGACTTGTGTGGTACATATTTATTCGGTGCCCCTTTGTATCAATGTATCTGTGATCAAATAAATAAATAAGGTATATCTAACAGTAAACTTAATTCATAGATGTTTGATGTCAAATAAATTCTTGAGAAATCATTTGTAATTTTCAACATTCTAATTTTCTTTACTGAACTATTCACAATATACACCAATATCCAAGTATTGTTTTCTTTACAAATCAGTTTCATCAAGACTAATATAAGGTAAACATTTTCTTAATATTATAGTAGAGATTATTCAGAGCAAGTATTGGATGTCCACTTACTTACGCGTGTTATCCCTTCTGCAGGAGTATAGGCCGCCTATCAACATTTTCTAACCAACTATGCACTGGACAATCCTTTCCAGTTATTTCCAATTGCTATTCATTCTTTTAATGTCTAATTTCAATTCCCGACGCAGCGTGTTCTTTACTCTTTCGTTTAAATCGTTCATTTTCGTCGATTAGTTGATGTTAGACATTAACACCGTTAGATGCCCACTCAAGGATCTAGTGGTTAAGTGCTCGCGCACGAGACTGTAGGCCATGGGTTCGAGTCCCACGAGGCGGGATCGTGGATGCGCACTGGCAAGGAGGAGTCCCACAGTAAAACGAAACAGCCATCCAGTACTTACAGGTTTTCTATAGTGGTCTAAATTCAATTGACTCATGATCTCAACAATCGGAAATACCGCATTTCGTTTAATAGATCTGTTATTGCAATTTAACTAATTAAGCAAAACGAGAAATTATTAATAATCTGAAAGAGAAGAATAATTATTTTACTATACAGAATTGTACTATCATTTTGTTCAATGTATTGTTGACGAGATCCAGAAAAATTCTCGAAGAAAAAGCTTCAAAATTGACTCTGTAAACATTGAACATTCAATAGAAGTTTTGACAGGAAACATCTATAAAGTTGAAATGTCACATATCACGTTTCTGAATCAATGATTACCTATACTACTAATATATTTAGTGGTGTTTTAGAAATTTCTACAAACTCAAGTCCATCTAAAATGCTATAGAAACCCTAGATTTCCTGTTTATAAATGAACCTTAGAATAAATCGTTTTCTTCCATATTTCTCGCTTTTTCTCTTTTGTTAAAGTTGCTGTGTACATTTAGTTTGGTTGTTACTAGAAGAGACTAGGAAACCGAATCCGTTGTTCAATCAGAAAACTTATCAATATACATACATTATACACTTTTCAAAATACTCCCTTTTTGTGGAAACATACATGTTACACTCTCATCATTTTTATTCTATAAACTATTCCAGAAATTGAATACAATTTCAAATTATTTAATCGCTTCAATTGAAGTTAGACCACTATGGATAATCTAGAAACACTGGACAACTGTTTCGTTCTATTGTAGGACTCCTCATCAGTGTTTATCCATGATCCCACTTGTTTGAGATTCAAACTCAGGACCTATTAGTCTTGCTTGTAAACGAGATTCATGATTTTCACATAGAATTTCTATCAACTATCCAATAATTTTTTTACTAGAAATTGTTTAAAGAAATGATTGTCTGAAATTTAGTTCAACTATAATCATTCGAATAATTAATTAAGATTAAGAAAAAATAAACCAGAGATTCCACAATAGAACGAAACGGCCATCCAGTACTTTCAGATTTTTCATGGTTGTTTAGCTTCAATTGACTCATGATCTGAACTATTGAAATTATTATAATATCCACAAAACCACCCTTCTCTTATTAATAATCATATGCTCAGTAATGAGATGGTCTCCAAGAGGTATTTCCTGGAGTTCTTTCTAGTGAGAAGCAGTGACTAGTGGAGTTCAACCGGATCTGTTATGAGATAGTAACTCACTGAAGACGATGACGCAATTTCGTGAATTGGTTAAAGTTAGACATTAATAACGTTGGATGCCGGCTGGCTCAGTGGTTTATAGGTTAAGCGTTTCCATGAATAACCGATAAGTCCCGTGTTCAAATTTTTCGAGGCGGGATTGTGGATATGCACTGCTCATCAACCCCATACTAGGATGAAACGGCTATCCAGTGCTTCCAGGTTGTACATGTTGGTCTACCTTCGATTGACTCACGATCTCAGCTATTGAAATTACTATAATATCCACAAAAACCCCTTGAGATTCAATTCATGCACATATTAAACAGATCCTATATATATAAACTAGTTTATGGAAAAGCATGGTGGTGGTGAGGGGGTGTTATGTAGTGGAGAGAAACTATTTATAGTATCATTTACAGAGATAAGTAACTATGATAACTTTTTATTTCAGATACATTCATACAGGAAGCTTTAATAAGGTCAACATCAATCACTCATGATTACATAAAAAGCTATAAATCATGCATTGAATACATTTGAAATCATACTTCAAATAGATGATGATGATGATGATGATGATGATGATGATGATGATGATGATGATGATGATGATGATGATGATGATGATGATGATGATGATGATGATGATGATGATGATGATGATGATGATGATGATGATGATGATGATGATGATGATGATGATGATGATGATGATGATGATGATGATGATGATGATGATGATGATGATGATGATGATGATGATGATGATGATGATGATGATGATGATGATGATGATGATGATGATGATGATGATGATGATGATGATGATGATGATGATGATGATGATGATGATGATGATGATGATGATGATGATGATGATGATGATGATGATGATGATGATGATGATGATGATGATGATGATGATGATGATGATGATGATGATGATGATGATGATGATGATGATGATGATGATGATGATGATGATGATGATGATGATGATGATGATGATGATGATGATGATGATGATGATGATGATGATGATGATGATGATGATGATGATGATGATGATGATGATGATGATGATGATGATGATGATGATGATGATGATGATGATGATGATGATGATGATGATGATGATGATGATGATGATGATGATGATGATGATGATGATGATGATGATGATGATGATGATGATGATGATGATGATGATGATGATGATGATGATGATGATGATGATGATGATGATGATGATGATGATGATGATGATGATGATGATGATGATGATGATGATGATGATGATGATGATGATGATGATGATGATGATGATGATGATGATGATGATGATGATGATGATGATGATGATGATGATGATGATGATGATGATGATGATGATGATGATGATGATGATGATGATGATGATGATGATGATGATGATGATGATGATGATGATGATGATGATATTAACCAACTTATTCTTAACTAAAACTAAGTTCAAGTATTTTGTCTAGTTTTAATATTCAGTTAGAAATAAATAGAATATACAGTAAAACAAATTAGACTTAAGATATACATTTAGAAAAATCAAACAGTATAACGATTGAATTGTTGCACATTGAATTACTTACTGACGTATTTACGCCTGTTACTCCTCATGGTAGAGCATAGACCGCTCTGGGAAATCCTTTCAAGTTGTTATTGATCCTTTTCATGTATGTTTGCTTTAAATTACCAACTCAATGTGTTCTCTGGTTTTTCAATTTTTCGTTTCCATTCAAGATTTCAAGTTAGTACTTGTCTTGTGATGCAGTTTGATGATTTCCACAGTGTGTCTTATCCACTTCCAATGTATATATATCCCTAATCTCGTCTTCAGCTGGAAGTTGGTTTGTTGCTTATGGTATCCGGTCAACCGATATTGAGCATCTTGTGTAGAAAACTATTTATAAATACTTACATCATTTTGATGATGGTCGTAGTAGTTCTCCACGTATCAGCTCCATACAGTAGGATTGTCTTGACGTTCGTATTGAAGATTGTGATTTTGATATTGGTTGATAGTTTTTTTGAGTTCCATATGTTCTTCAACTATAGGAATGCTGTCCTTGCTTTGCCAATCCTTGCATTTACGTCTGCATCTGATCCTTCACGTTCATCTATGATGCATCTCAGGTACGTGAAAAATTCTATATCTTCCAGAGTTTCGCCATCAAGTGTGAATGAATCGGTGTTCTCCGTGTTGAATTTGAGGACCTCGGTTTTCCCCTTGTGTATGTTGAGGCCTATTGATGCAGAGATTGCTACTACACTGGCTGTCTTCATCTGTATTTGTTCGTGTGTATGCGA